CAAAGTACTTTTACAAAGGAAGTAAGGCTCATTATCTCTATTTTACAGATGGGTAAACTGAGGCACAGAGCAAAGAACTGACTTCCTCAAGGTCAGCCAGCAGGCCAGTGGCTGAGCCAGGAATATGACCCAAGCCTCCTGAGTTCCAGACCCTGTGCTCCACCTGACTACACTGCTCCTGAGAGCAGGCAGAAAATATTAATAACATTTAATAAAGTGGAGTCAATTGACTTAAGTGCCGTTCTAAGTGATACTGAAATGCTATCCATCCATTCTTGGGTATATTCAGTTTTGTCCTGTTAAAATGAAATAGAATAATATATAGTACAGCAAGCTGTTTAAAAATGTATATCAATTATTAAAAGAATTTATTTACATTGCTATTTGAAAGCTAGGATTGAAATATTGTCCAATTACTATGGATAGTTTATTTAATTATGTTTCCAGGAGTCCAGTATGTCTACAGGAACAAAAACACTAATCTGAACTGAAGTAGAGGACAAGGTCGCTGACATGATAAATACACCTTCACCTAGCCAAAGCTTTAGTGTTTTGTACAGTGAACTAACACTGAAGTGATCAGCTTTTTTGTACTGCCAGGGGCATTCCTGGAAATAAATGTTTTGTCTCTCTGCCAATTAGCATCCTTGGGCTAGCATCGAAGGACGCTGCACTACTGACGTGGAGCCTTCCGACTCTGAGGCCATGTCTACACTACCCACCGGATCGGCGGGTAGTATTCGATCTATCGGGGATTGAGATGCGATAAATCGATCCCCGAATCGACACCCGTACTCCATCTCGGCAGGAGGAGTAAGCGGAGTCGACGAGGGAGCCGCGGCAGTCGACTTGCCGCCGTGAGGATGGCCAGGTAAGTCGAACTAAGATACTTCGACTTCAGCTACGCGAATAGCGTAGCTGAAGTTGCGTATCTTAGCTCGACCCCCCCCACCCCTCCCCAGTGTAGACCAGCCCTATGATTGACCTTACTATTTGTAGCAGCTGTTGAATGTTAGGGTAGCAAAGGATGGGCTGATACCCTTTTATTTCCCCCCCAAGAAACTGATTTGCTGTGAAGAAATCTCTTTTGCATCGTACACGTACATACAAGTGCAATCAAAGCCTGCACTGTGAAAAATGCAGATGAGCTGAGAAATGAGTATGGAGGGATGCAAAGGGACAGTATGAGGATTACAACACATTAAATATATGCTCACTTGAAAAGTAAGTGTGTTTAATCAAACTTAATCTTCTTAGGAGAAACTATTGTCATTTTCATAACAAACGGAAAGTGTATCTTGGTTATTAAGCGGCTATGTTTGGTAGATCAATAACTATTTTTTTTTACATATTGAAAACTTCCAAATATTGATCTAGTTAATTCAGAAAGTCCACAGCTCTGTGTACATGTACAAGCGTTTTTATGTACAGGTATGATTGTAGAATCCTTACTCACACAAGAACTCCCATTCATTTATCTAAGTGATGACTTCATGCACGCCTCTTACAGTGGTTTTTAGTGAGCTGGAACCCTTTTCAGTTTAAATAACAGGGAACTAGTCAACTTTCAATTCGAAGGAGCTACACTGATTTGCACCAGCTGATTTCAAATTTGTACTATGATGAAGAATACTTTTTAAGGACAGATAATTAGGGTGAAATCTTACCCCCACTCTGGCCCCTTTACATTCGGTAAAAAGACTGGAGTGGTGTAAAGAGGTCCTAAAAACTCCATATCCATCTAAGAAAGAATTCTCCCCAGTGATGGCACTGCAAAAGACAGCTGTAAAGCTGTCCTTTGAGGACCTTTCGCTAGCCATGCTAGCCCAGGGACACACTTGATACGGGCAGGATGACCAGATAACAAGTGTGAAAAATCAAGATACTTTTTTTTTCGGGGGAATAGTTGCGTATATAAGACAAAGCCCCCAATATCAGGACAGTTCTGATAATATCAGGATGTCTGGTCACCCTAAATATGAGGTGGAGGGTGACTGGGGCATGTTGGGGGGTCAAACCGCAGCAGGCAATGATTCTGGGCAGCATTTAGAGTAACCACCTTTGTTGGATGGAAATAAGGGGAAACCATGTGAAAATAAGGGATAATGCTTTATTTTAAAGGGACGTTTTAGGGAAACACCATTTCTCATAGCATATCATATATTTTTCTCTCAAGTGTACATTTCTACTGCCCTCAAGTATACAATGCAATTATCATAAGTGTCAATTCAGTGTTCAACATGGTACTTAGTATCAGTTTTAATACCTCTCAATACATCTTAAAATAAGGGTGATATGGTCACCCTAGCAGTACTATGGCCTATACAGCAGCCCAGGAAGGGCCCTCATGGTTGTGTAAGGGAAGGGGAGAGCACAACTATCTTTTGAAACTACCATAACCCCTCTTCCCCATGGGCTGTGAGCCTCTAAGAGGCTCATCACAGAATCTCACCCTAGGTATCAGTCAGTCAGGATTTGACTTTCTTTGATCAATAGTACATTATAAACTGAACCTGATATATCACTTCAGTGATTCATGTCATAATCAGAACAGCTGCACTGAGCAGCTAATACAATATTTCCTTGTACAAAGATGTGACTGAGTATATGGATGCCACTGGCAAAAGGATAATATAAAGCCAAATGCCTTTTGCCTCCTACTCATTTTTTCTCTCCACTCAAAAATGAGTTTTAGTTGACTTAACCTGTATACAAGTTTAATTTTCTCTAACAAAGAGTTACATTCTTCTGTGAAATTGAAGAGATAGAGACTAATAATAATGATGGGGTGAAAAAATGTAAGTTGAATACTTTTGCCTTTCACAATGGCATGGAAGCTACGTGGGTTTCTCTGTATTGACAAATGGAATGCACCAGGAGTTGACAAATGAACATGGAGAACTAAGGCAAGGCCATTTAACATATCTGGCTTCAACAGAGAGATAGTCTTACTAGCAAATAAAATAAATACCAAAGCATAGAATAGACCATTGTGAAGGTCAAGGATTCACATCCTTCATTGATTTGCAGGTGCACAAGTCAGATATTTTTCTAAACAGTGTCAGGAGATAACTTGGCATCTGTAAGGGTCTTCTCTCAGACACACACCTGGTGGCATGTATGGACAGCAGGGAGGCATCCACAAAAACAGACACAGCGCTCTTGAATGTAATTTTTCAATTCACTACGCAAATCAGTATTGAATACCTTGGAAAAAACAGGGTCAAGTCTGATCTCATTTACACCAGTGAAAAATCTGATGCAATTCCATTGATTTACCAAAATATATGAGATCAGAATTTGCTGTCCTTTATTTATAGCACAAAAAACCTAAGGCCCATGTCACAGATCTTTCTATTTTATTGGTATGTTAAACTCACTGTTTGCAAGAGCCCCATTGAGGGAAATAACTACTGACTACATGTAGCAGATGCTTTTGCAGATCACTTGCAAATGTATTTTATAGCAGTATTTAATTCTAGAGCTGGGAAAAAATATTCAACTTTACCAATATTTAATGACAATTTTGGCATTTCTTAGGAAACTACTGAAACATATTCCCTCTTCACGTCCTTTTGGTTAAATGAATGGCAGAAAGCTTTATAAAATATGACTTTACTCTGTCTATGGTAGTAATTCATAATGCTGTCTGTAAAGTCATAGGGCCAAATTTAAGGAGTTTCAAGCACAGATCTTAGTCAACTTCTGCTTCCTCTGATACGGGGATGGGCTGGGGGCTAAACTAGCTCCATCCTCACATAAACAAGGCTGGTCTAATTTTAATGGCTATCACAGTCTAGTAGCCCAAGATTCCCAGAATACAATGCACTCCAGACACTTCCCATAATGCTTCTATCACTCATGCTATGATTTGGTTTGATATGGTGGTGTTAGCAATCTGGCAGCTGTTTTTTCTGTCCCCAAAGTACTCTGCCCATCCCACATTGCAGGCATGGCTCAGTAACTCAGAAGAACTTAATAAAATAAGTATGAAACCAAATGGTTGTAGCTGACATACCGTGTAGTGTTGTTCCAGCAAAATTACCAGCTGAAGATAAGCACAATTTACAGAATTCTGTGCAAGATCCATTCAAATTTCATTCATTGAAAGCTCCTGAGTGTTTGAAGTTTTGGAATTCTGGAATTAATTCTATATTTCATGTTAGCATGAATATATGTGGCCAGAAATCATACATTAAAGAAGACATAAGGGCCTATGCAAAGGAAGAGGGTTAAAATGAATTGAACTACAAAAAATGCAGTATGACCAGTGCTTTTTCCTAAAGAGGGTGCCCTACAAAAGCATAGAGCAGTTCTTTAAGTAAATAAAGTCCTTGCTTTTACTGACACAGGAACACAGCTTTAAATGTAGTAGTGGTGGGTAAGTGGATGGGGGTGGGTGGAGTTAATATGTTTAGATCTTAAAACAATCACAGCTTGATACTCTGCAGACTAGGAACAAACAATCTCTCTTTTTTTTTTAATAAATTTAAGAGAAAAATCTACTTCAGAATACACTGTACATTAGCTATTAGAGCAGCCTATAGGCAAAAGAAGGCAGTAATAGCTAGCAAACCAATTCTGCCACCCCCATTCATGTGTAATACCTTACTCCTCAATAGTCCCAGAGAAATCAGTGTTTAATGGTACTAAGCAATGTGAGTATGGGTGGCAGAATATGACCCTATATGATCAATCCACTTTTTTGATTGACTATTATTCAATCTGAATATCCGTACTGAAATTTTATAATAACCATAACCATCACTTCCTGAGTAGATTTCTAATGATCATAGACATATCATTAGGGTATACAGTAGTTCATATTGAAAAACTGATTACAATATATATTAAAATAATAAATGTAACTTCTAAATAGAATAAGTATAAAATCTCTTTTCCATATTGCCATTGCAGTTACCATTATGTTCCTCCATATTTACTTGGAAAAGGATGTGCTTGTTAATGCTCCACAAATCTGTAATGCAAATGCCACCTACCTTGTAAATCCAGAGATACCACTGCTATGTCATCCTCTAATCCTTCAATCACCTCACATTTGTATCTCCCATAATCCTCCAGTGTTATATCTGTGATTACAAGAGAAGCATCATTTTCACTGCCTTTTTTCAGAAACACCCTGCCCTGGTAGTTTCCATAACTCTTCTGGTGGAGTCCCATTGCGACAAAGACGTCCACTTCCTTGAGGTAATCTGAGGTGAGTTTGGTCCACTTGACACGAATTTTGTGGGTTCCTGAGCCAGCTGATGTATGGTCACGGTAAAATTTACACGGTAGTGTGATATTGCCACCCCTGTGTGAGAAGACTTTAGTTTGTTCTGCTTCCACAAGTAGACGGGGTCCATTTTCTGATAGAATTTGAACAAAACAAAACAAAACAAATTAATAAATAAAAAGAACCATTACTCTGCATTCTAGCTTTTACAAAATGGGATACATGATATATGCAATAGTAAACATTAGCTATTTGATACAATTAGTTCTGCATGATCACTCTCCTACAGCTGTGTTGCACTATACTGCAGGTATTTAGTACCAGGCTTACTATACTAGTTTTATCCTTGATAATAAATCTCTGCAATTTGAAATGAGAAGGTACCTCTAATGTAGTCCTTGCGTCATTGATGAATAGGCTACTAATACATAATTGATAAATTAACATTAGTAAGGTATTGATTTCATCTACTTACAAAGGGCCAGACTGTGACCCAGCTAATGCATGAAGGATGGAGTGCAAGGCTATATTTTAGCAGGTAACAATTCAAAAGGTAGAGCAGTTTGTGGGCTCACTACTTTCCTTCCAGCACTGGTGGTCAGGGAGTGGGCAGGCAGCAGGGAGGATTAAGGAGACAATCAGCACAGCTGAGCTGGCACCCTGCGGGAAGTAACCTATGCCAAGTATAGGAGTGGGGCAGATTACTTTCCCTTGAATAAAGAAAGAAACCAGCATGTGTGCTCAGGGAGGCAAAGAACAAAAGACTTGTCATCAGTGGTCAGCACAGAGTTAATCTCCCATGACTCCAAAGAGTCAGAGATCCTTTATGCTGTACAAATCACAACCTTATGTCTTTGCTCAATGTAACCCTGGACACAACAATGTTTTTCCAGAACACTCAATGCCCATCCATCAATAATCCATCATGCACAAGTGTGGTCACTCACAATGGATCATTCTCTTAAAACGTGTGATCCTTTGGGGGCCAGATTATGGAACCCTTATTCATACTGGTGAGCACTTACTCATGTGAATAGTCCCACTAAAAATAATGGGGACTACATATGGGTAAGAGCGCTCAACTAGTGTGAGGAAGAACTCCACAATATGACCCTTGATTTGCATACTACTTTGATGTCGCCATGACCTTGCAGTCAGTGAAGATTTTTGACAGGGTAGAATAAGATTATTCATTTGAGGCTTATTTTGACCCAAACTGTACTACGGATGAGCATTTTTAAAAATAATAATACAGCAGGCACCAGTACATGAAAGGATGTCCAATTTTCTCCTCATATTTTATTGTAGCCCTGGAGTTAGGGTTAAATTCAGTTGACTGAGTTCCCCCAGAGTTTGGAAGCTTATCCAAATTTATTTGAAACTTTTGTCAACTTCTCTTCAAATGCCTTTCTTTATGCTATCACCTGCCTTCTTTCAAGCCAATGAAATCCCTCCTCCCCCTCTCTTCAGGCATGCATGCATACGTCATCAACTCCTCCTTTTTCCCTCTACCCCAGATTCCCTGCTCCAAACTCCATTTTGCCTTCAGCAGGCCACAATTGCTGGTACTCTGACAGACAGGGCCGGCTCCAGGGTTTTGGCCGCCCCAAGCAGCCAAACCCCCCCCCCCCCCCCCCCCCAAAAAGCCGCGATCGCGATCTAAAAAAAGCCGCGATCGCGATCTGCTGCGGCAATTCGGCGGGAGGTCCTTCACTCCCAGGCGGAGTGAGGGACCGTCCGCCGAATTGCCGCCGAATACCCGGACCTGCCGCCCCTCTCCGGAGCGGCCGCCCCAAGCACCTGCTTGAGAAGCTGGTGCCTGGAGCTGGCCCTGCTGACAGATCATCATGTTTAGCATAGTCATCTGAATCAGCTGTTCTCTTCAAATCTTGCGTGCTCTTCCCCCGGGTCCAAGCTGCGGTTGGGGCTAGGACAGGCTGGCCTGTGCCCTGGGACTCAGAGCAGCTGAGGCTGGTGTTCGCGCTGCCCAGTGCTCTGTGGCTGCAGGTGCTGGGGACTGCGCTAGCTGCCTGGTGCTCCGGGGCTGGGGGCACTTGAGGCTGCGGTGGGGAGCTTGGGGCTCTGGTTGGGGAGGGGAGTGACCTCGGGCAGAAGGGGTGAGGCTGGGGGCTAGCCTTCCCCAACAGGTGGTTCACACAGTGCCTATGTTAATTGCATAGTTCCAAAGCCCATTGAAGTCAATGGTAGTTTTCTATTCACTTCAGTGGGCTTTGGATCAAGCAAGCCCTTAGGACCAAAAGGCTAGAGACACATGCAAAAGTGTAAACACAATTATTATGACTGGATGTACAAAAGGGAATAGTCATGCAGTCCAGGTAGGCAAAGAAGCCCTGAAGGAAGAAAGGAGTAAGATGGGTATTTTAAGAAGAAGGAGAAAAGACTTTGAAAGTGTAAGTCTGAGGCCTTTTTCTGCAGACATATTAGGACAGCAGCAGCCATGAGCCAAGAAGCAGAAAGTCACATCCTCACATTCCATCTAAAGTGCATTAGAACAATGAAATATGAGACTGTTAAGAAGGTGCTCCTGTGCTAATAGTACCCACCACCACTAGATAAGAAAACAGACCTTAGGATGTTTTTTAAAACAAACTTAGTTTGATAGTATTCTGTCTGGCAAGGAATCACTTATCAACAGTTGTATTTGTGAAATCTCTACTTTATTGTTTTGCCTTTATGGTCCCTACTTCTCTATGGTTTATCTGTATTGTTTCTGCCTGGTTCTTTGATTGTTTCTGTCTGTTGCATAACTAATTTTGCAAGATTTAAATCAAC